GATGAATGATATAGGACAAATCATATATTAGTTTTATTCAACATTTTATTTTTAAAGATACTACATATTCATTTTTTTTTTTTTTACAACGCCAATATAACCACAGTAAATACCTAGAATTGTAAAACCCAAGGTGTGATTGCTGGAGACAGACATGCTTTGATGTATTTTCTACAAAACACCAAATGTCCTGGATATTACAGGTATCATTTATGCCAGCTGTGGACGCATACCTGTCACCATAAGTCCTGAATATTATAGTGCCATCTTATTTTCACAGAACATTTTTTTTCTGTATTCCTGTGGTTTGAGAGAAATTTGCTTTTGCAGGGTAAATCCATATGTCTGCTGGGGACAAGCACCAACATTATCTGAATTACCATCTCAAGCTGTGGGCTGATAACTGCCAGTTGCTGTTAGCTATTGGGGTGTGCACTAAGTCAAACAGCATGTAACCAAAGGCAGAGTCTATAATTGTCTACTATCACTCCTGGACGAATGGGATTACACTGCTTCATCTCTAAGGCTTTGTATGTATGCCATATTCATCTGGTTGACAAACATAAAAGACTTACTTAAAAAATACATTATAATAGCTGATGATCTAAAAGTGTCAGTGTATGCAAACCTCAGAAAGAAAAAGCAAATGTCAGATAGTAACCAAAGAGACCAAACTGGGACCTGGACTAAAATCTCTGAGTGCAACAAACTTGTCATGCAAGACTTTGACATATCTCTGATGATCACAATGAATATCGTGAAAAGTGATGGAAAATTATGCTAATGTTGCATATGAGTAAATATTCTACAGCAGATAGTAGAATTATTTACATTTTGGATATGATATAAATTGGTATGATATGAATTAAATTGGTACTGCATAAAGTATATCTTATCTTATCTTATATTTGATGAAACATTGTTTCCGCTGCAGAGAGAGTGTAATTATCATCACAGTCTTCTTAGCTCATTCTGATAGCACCAATAATCCTGGGGAAATCCACAGCTAAAGGCTGCATAGACCCTGTTGTCCAAATAACCCTCATTACACTACTGCTTTCAGGGGAAAAAACACGGACACACGTGCAATGTCTGAGCGAAAAGTGAGAGCAGAGACACCAAGACTAAGGTGAGTGAGCAGGCAGCTGAAGGGCTGAGTGGCAGCAGATAATGCATGCAAGCACATATTAAAGAATTGTAAAACATAAAATATCAAAATGATGTAAATGGCACGTTTAATATTATGCACAGAATAGATCAAATACGTTTGTTTTGACCCAGGACCTGCTGAAGGGACTATGGATTTCAGCCAATGGTATATGGTTATATACGGTATACAGGTAAATTGTAAGTGAGAAATTTGTTTAAACCAGTTATTTTGGATTACTTTGTAATCCCAAAAAAAGGAGTCACAAAAAAAGAGAAGATAATCAAGTTTGCAATGTAAATTTGTATTGTATTTAAATAAAGGTAAACTACAAATAATAACTGGCGCATTAACATGAAAGTAAATGACAGTGGTAGCCAGGACACTTCTTGCTGTAGCACTTCTGATAGTTTACAAATGTTTTTTTCTGTTTTGTTGCTTGTACTGTCCAAACCATCAGCAGTTTATATTTTGCATAAAAGATTCTTGAAAGATCCTTTCTCATCTTTTCTATAACGTACACTACAACAAGTCTATTTATTTCAGTCGTTGAAGTCACCTGACAGCGTCATTAAGATGAAGATATCCTTAATCCATTCGTCCCACAGTGGAGACATTTCAGTCATTCAAGTCGAGGTTGCTTATAGCGGCGGCATCTTCGCTTTAGCATCTAACTAGATGATTGTTGACAGTCCATGGTGTTGACGCTACAAGTGAATTAATAAAGTATGAAGATGAGTTAGCTGGAGTGGCAATCGCTTGCTGCCCGTGCAAAGCTTGTCCTCCATAAAAACCTTTTAAACTTTTTGACTGATGTATTTAAATTAGTGTGCATATCTCTACTGTAGGTAAAACACTCCTTAGTTATGCGTTACACCCAACACTGGTCACAAGTTACATCTACCATGCTATACTAGTAAACCCTAGCCTAAATCTAGGTATTTAAGACTAACAATGATTAACTTCAAATGACATTTATATCTGAGATGCAAGACGTTATTCGCCATGTCAAAATATAACCTTGAAATATCCTTTTAAACACTGCACGTTGACAACGCATGAGTTAAATAATAGGCAAACACATTCAAATATACAGCGCCTGTCTACTTGCTTGCCATTCTCCTCCTTTTTCCTGGTGATGCAAAATGCAGATGAGACATGTCTTGTGCCTCGTCTCTAGAGAAACTGCCACTCAAATCCAAACATCTGTACGAATACTAAAACACACAGACACCGCGGTGAGAGAAAGAGAATATTGAGGAAGACTGCTGGGATAGAATGAAACAAAAAGCAAGCTAACGGGCTGTTTCTTTAACCGAACAAAGCTCTATGCACATGAATGCCTGTATTCGTCCCATTGTATTTTCCATCAGGATATTTATTCTGAAAAGCGGCAATGCACAACAAGAGATTTGGTGGTGTGTATGCTAGCGGGCTGAGGCGCTAACACTCCCCAGCTGATTATGTGCCTGTCTGTAGCAGTTTGAGCTGCTGCCAGAGGAATTATGGCTAACACACAGCCACTCTCCAATTTCTAGCAAAAAGCAGAACAGAAAAAAAGATAAATAAATGAAAGAAATCGCTGTGGAAGCCTATTAAATTTTCAACGTGACCGTTTTGTGAGTCTTCATGTGTTTAGGCACTACACAAAAGGAATATTTAAAAAACCAAAGCGTGCTAATTGGGACAGAGATTGTTACAGAAGTGTCTTATTCAAACAGGCTTTCGGCTCATTAGCTGTCTCCATCCCCCTTTGTTTAAGTGGCAAAGACATTTAAAGACAATACAATATTTAATCATGTTTATACAAGCGCAAATGGGATAAAGGAATTTAAATGTATTTACGGAAAACATGCCTTGGAAACATCGCGGTTAGTTTAACAGAAAAAATAAAAAAGAATTCCCGTTTTAATGTTGCATTGTGTCACTTAATTTTTGGTCCAGTAAAACATTTCTATTTACTATTAAATCACAAAGTCTCTGGAGAGCTTCAAGATTTTTTTTTTTACTCCTTTAAACAGTTGGAAGAAATTGAAATGTACAGAGAAAAATAGTTAAATACAATAGTTATTGGCAGTGTTTACAAGTTTGAAAATTTGGAGTTGGGAATTGTACTTTTTCTATTTTCATATTTTCATATAAAATTACTAATTGTATTGTATTGTATCATTCTTTTCTGACATATTGGATTTTCTGACATATTGGAAAAATAACGGTTTGTAATAAAAGTCAGTGACATCCACTTCTAATTATCAAACATGGACAATTAGTCCATGGACCACGGTCAGTGGATAATGCCATCGCACGGACTGCATTCCCATGCTTCTAGAATAACTGCTCCACTGTAACATTCTGTCACAAGTTGGGGACAGGACAACAGGAGTCTCTCTTTTGGTGAAGCTCAAAACCATTCAGTTTCTTCTGCTTTATCCGGAGCTGGGTTATGGAGGCAGCGTCTGAGCAGAGACAGACTCAACCATCCACACACACTTTCTCCTGAGGCATTCCCAGGCCAGCCGAGAGACATATTTCTCTAGCGTGTCCTGGGTCTTTCCAGGGGACTCCTACTCCTCTAACGTGGAGCTGTACTAGCTGTCTAGCTGTACTGAGCTCCTCACCCTCTTTGGGACTGCCAAGCCATCATGCAGAGAAAACACATTTTGATTCCTTGTATAAGCATAAATTGATATAGTCACTTTGAGTACTACCAAAATACTATTTTATTTAATAGCCAATAGCAATAGCACCAATATAATTCACTTTCAAATCCAAACACTTTTAATCAGATAAACATGCTATTAAAATCTTAAGAAGCACAGTAAAGAAGATTAGTGTGTGTTGTTCCCTTGTCAGTACCATTTCTGACTGTGCCTTCTTCTCTTCATCCATTTAGCTTTGCTTTAATCAGCCTTTAGTTAACCATGTCACTCCGCATCTGGACATGCGTCACTCTGCACTAATGTAGAAAGACACAACACACTCCATAAGGAGTGTTCTCCTTTATATACATTAAATAACCAACCATCAGAGCAGCTACCTGTCAACTAGTCACTGTTTAGATAATAAAATACAATAAGCAAGTCAACTTTATTCATGCAGCATGTTCACACACAAGTAGATACAAAGCTACTTATATATATTTTAATGTAATGAATCCACTAAGTGGAAGTAAACTGGGGTGGAACTGGGGTACAAAGACATATGTGAATGATAAGAGGTAAGATAGGATTGAATAAAGGTATATAGTATAAAAAAGGTTTTTCAAAACAAACAAAAAGCAAAGGATTTAGGAGACTTAGAATGATTGAACACAATATGGTAATACAATGATTACTACACTGTTTATTTAGAACAGCGCAGTAATCAATGATTACACCTCCACAGCGCACACCTCCACAACAAGCATGGCACACAACCGTATCTACTCCCAATGCACATGTGCTGATTTCACCCTGCTTCTCTTTACAGAGCAATACAAAGTCAACTTGAATCCACAACCGAATGTCATATTGGCAACAGCAGAGAGAATATTTACGAGTGCTGCATGCCAATAAAAAGGGGAAGAGCTGTACAATTCAGCATAAAATGGGTGTAGTTTCCCAGTTTAACCCTTAGCTCTCTCTTCTACTCTTCACACTCCATAATGATGCACACACCTTTGCTTTACAATAGATGATACACACCTTCATGCCATGGAATCTTGTCTACAATCCATAACTGTTTATACAAATGCACCATAAGAATACACTATAGCATTCAATTCAACACATATAACTATTAAAGTTATCCTCCGCTAGGTGCTGCATGCCGACTATTCACTCCCATGTGCATTGAGTAGTGCAGCTCTCCTTACCATCTTAAACCCATTCCACTCCATTTGGGAGATGCCGGCCGTTGTCTCAGCTATTCTTCACTCTCCTCACAGAACAGCTTTGATAGTCCTAGAATTAACAAGACTGTGCTTTCGGTTTAGGCTGCCTTTATTTATTCTTCAGTGCTGGTGGGCTGGGAGCAGCGTGGCGCTAGTGGCGTACGGAGCAAGCATCGCCTTCTTCCACAGATGCTGAGAGGAGAATGGTGAGGATGCTGGGCTGCAGTGTGCCTCTCCTCCCTACTCCCCTCCTCCCTGCTCTGCACAGCCACCCGCCCAGTGTGCTGCTCAACTGGAAGGTCAGAGCCCGCCCACACTCCCCCAATGCTACTTCTCAGGCAGTGATTGGCTTTTTGGCTTGCTCGTCAGCCCCCAGCCTCACCTCCCCCTCCCTGAGTGTTAACACCTTCGCTCTCTGGCTGGCTCAGTGCCCTGGTCGGCACACGCCAGCTTCAGCCTGCTTTGGCAGTGAAAAGGCTTTCTGAATCCCAGCAAAGCAATCAATGGCTGCTGAGGTGTGTGCTTGAGGGAGCCGGCCGAGCATGGACCCCAGTATGGAGAGTGATTGCAGCCTCAGGCACTATGGTAATGGGATGCCTGTGCAGCACTGTGTATATAAATTAGCTCTTTCTGGACTCATAAAAATATCTCAGCTACACACTATCCCACTTTGATTTTTTTTATTTTTATCACACCAACACAAAGGATTCATAATTGAATAGTTGAACATATACATGTGTACCAAAGACAGTAAATAACAAATGTATACAAACTAAAATATTTAATACAATATATTTACTGTCATTTCTAAATAGAATGCAGCATCAACGTTTTGAATAATATGTAAATAAATAAAATAATTTCACACAAAAATACAAAATGGACTACATCAATTAAAGATAATAATATACAACCCTAAAACAGATTTACATAAGGACACCAATTATGTTTCCCCTGGTAAGTATTTTTTTCCACTCAAAGCAAAGTGCCATGGACTTGGACATCTTCAAAAGACCTCTCCATTCGCAGTTCTTTTTTTTCAGCAGTTTTATGTGCACGGGCTAAAATTTGCACCACTGATTCCTGGACAGGTAGAGTAAAGGAAGTCACATGAATCGCACCAGCTGAGATCATGGACTGCAGCTGAGACCCGTCCAAGCGTAAAAGCGTCACAGCACGGCACGGTACATTGGCAATAGCACTCGCACGCGTTTACTCACCATGACCATTCTTGTAAGAGGCTGTCGTTGTTGGAGTGCACCTCTGGAAGCGGACCAAGAGCAGAGCACGGGAGAGCACGGGAGAGCACGGGACTGCCTGACCGCGGAGTTACACTCGTCAGACCAGAGAGATGAAAACGACAGAACCAACGCGGTCAACACTCTGAACACTTGTGTGAAAGAAACCCAAAGTGAAATCATATGATACACAAGCGCCCAAAAATCTCTGGTCGGTGACCGGCTCCTATTGGCTAAGGAGGGAGGAGGGGCGGGACACCGGCGGATGCTGAAGCAGAATGTCCACGGGAGGTTTGGAGAGGGAGGGATTAATCGAAGCAAAGTTAATCGAATCCATCGAAAAAAACTAGTATTATCTATCTTTCTAGTTTCTTTATAATAATTAAATCACGCAAAACCATTAGCATCCCAGCAGAATATATTTTATACTAATTTAATTTATTAAACTACAATTTGGCCAGCAGCAAAAGCGTTCTGAACAGCTCCTATCACAAACAGACAAGAAGAGGGAGCTCTTGCCTCCTCAAACAGAATGTAGGCTATATGCACCATTAATATAGCGTCAATAAGATTACTTTTATAACATGTTACTTATTAACATGTAAACCATCTTTTATGTACCCTTCTCAAAAGTAAACATAATCAAACATCAGAATGAGCATATTGGACAAGTCACTGACAGTACCAGCATGAAAAAATACATATAGTTGAAATGAACTCAAACAGAAATGCGATGTAGCACCCATATCAAATTCCAATTACAGATTTAAGACTGACACAAAGAGAAGACAATATCTTCAAGCAACACTAAGAACAATTGTACTCTCCAACTTTCAGTTTTCAATAATTAGGTGTCTTTTTAGTTTAGTTTTGTTACGATATTGCAGCTTATGACTGTTCCAAGCAAAACTGAAATAGCAATGTGAAAAAAACAAACACATGGCGTGGTGAATGCATAAAAATGCCTGCAGTGATAATTGTGGGGGTTCTCAGTTTGACTCTTGTTAACTGTACATTTCTCCACCTGTCTTGTGTTTCACTCTGCATATCAGACTTATATAAGAGTGAAGATTGTGTTTTTTTTGTCCGTCTGTTCCCACTCATTGTTATACTTTGCAACACAAGATTTGAATCAAACTGATAACTTTTTTATGAACAGTATTTGTTTATTTTTACATAATACATTAACCTGTTTTTACCATGATACGGTATAAAATAAGTTGATATCACATCATGAATGTATGAAAGTGCAATCAATCAAATTATCAGAAGAATATGCTCATAATAATATTGGAAGCTATTATCAAGCAGAGAATGTTGACTGAAGCGTTTCGAGGCCAGCTATAGTAGTGGCAAGATGAAGGGGTGAGATTATTTTCTAAAGTACATGGTTTGTGAAGTGGCCAAAAAAGGTCCATCATTCGCAACAGCTTGCAGTGGCTCCAAAGGCAAAGTTGATTGTGAAAAGGCAGAATAATGTACTGCAAATTACGGTTACCACTATGTAATTTACACTGACACACAACTCAACACAGTTAAACACAGAAGTTTGCAGGAAGCACCCAATATAGGGTATAGCTGCTCAGCATGCTGCAGCTTACTAAGGCTCTTTTTCTTCGCCCTTGAAGGATAGATTTAGTTGCTCTATTGAAGTTCTGGCAGTAGTAGCATCTCGCTGTGCTACTCAGACTGATGATCGCCTCTTCCTGGCAGGTATCCAGTCTGTGCCGGTAACAATCAAACAAATGAGAATCACAGCAACTCCAAATCCAGCTTGCGTTTCTGCCCAGAGACAAAGTCAGACACCACTGCTTCTCTCAGACACGAGACAGCTATTAACACAATGTGACTGCATCTGGACAATAAGATCAGACTTGTGATTTAGTGTTTGCTTTTATTGTTAAGATCAGAGGCTTCATCTGCATAAATCAATGTCACACACAAAGTGGATACTGATTCAGGGGTTATTTCACAGTCCAAAGAACAGGAGCCCCTGCATTTCAGTTGTACTTTCATCAAATAATACATTTTCTGTTCTTCAAAAGCAGAGTGGCTCAGTACACTCACAACCTAGTAATGAAAGCTTGGTGAAGTTTAAATAATTCTATCACAAGAACAATAAATTCATGAACATATTTGTGTAGTACTTAAAATGTTAGTGTTGTGGTCTATTGTATCAAGACATTTGACACAATAAAGATAAAGGTAAAGGTAAAGGTACACTCTATTTATCCCCGAAGGGAAATTCAGGAGCAGTGGTCGCCGTAGAACAGCGCACGGGAACCCATCTGCAGATGTTGATAGACCACAACATTCTACTGCAGTGCAGAGGCTAGAATGTTGTGTCTCGGAGGAACAGCACTTCCCATCCCATTTATCAGATTGGTATGAGTTTATTAATGTGAACAAAAACTCCTCAACCTACATCAAAGGAAAATACGGTGTGCCACAAGAATCAGTTCTCGGCCTGATTCTCCTCACACTCTACATGCTGCCATTAGTTAATATAATTATAAAGCATGACATTAACTTCCACTGCTACGCAGATGATACACAGCTTTACCTGTCTAAAAAACAAATCAGACAGATCAATTAGAAAGGCTTAGTGTCTGCGGGACTTAAGTATAACTTAAAACTTGGAGGACCCTAAACTATGGAAAAAACAAGTAATTTTACCTGTTTGCGTGACTTCCTCGCTGATCAGATAATCAAACTCAATAATATTAGTGTGGCCCCTGATTCTCCTGCTGACTTTAGCAGGTTTTCCTCCAAAATGTCCCTGTGTTTGGCTCCATCTATCTTCCCAATCCCCACCGAAGCAGCCCCATAGCATGAATGCATGAATGCATGAATGTATAAAGTAATAACGGAATCCTGTATCACTTTACTTTCACTTCACAGTTTTTGTTTCTTGTGTGTGAACTTTCAGTAATAAATCAAAAATGAAATATTTATGTTAATGATTTTAAACCTGACAAAATGTGCACAAGTTCAACATTAATACTTTCGAGAGGCACTGTATTACTCCAGTGTTGAAATCCCTCCACTGGCTTCCTGTGGAGTAAAATTTGAAATTTAAAATCCTTCTTTTGACATACGAGGCTATAAAAGGTATGGTTCAATCTGACCTCCAAAACAAACTAGTATCATATCAACAAAACCGAACACTGCGCTTGCAAAATGCCAGACCTCGGGTGGTTCCTAGAGTGTCAAATACAAAAATAGCTCCCCATCCATGTCAAGGAAGCGGACAATCTTTACAATCAAGGCCAGGCTTAAAATATTCCTCTTTAATTTAGCATATGGTTTGGTGAGTAGACGTACAAAATACAATTTTAAATACAAATTAGTGATAATGGAACAAGTGGAACAAAATGTATTGGATAATTTAAACTTTTTTAACAAATAAAAAACTGAAAAGTGGGGCGTGCAATATTATTCGGCCCCCTTGCGCTTATAGTAAGTAAGTAAGTAAGTAAGCTTTATTTATATACCGCCTTTCACAGACCAGAGTCACAAAGCGGTTTACAATTGTTATTTTTGGGCACTTGTCCTCTCACTCCACACAGACATGGGAGCGGGGTCGCCGAATAGGAGGCGCATGCCAGACCTATTGTACATATTTTTAGTGGTAGGGGAAACCGGAGTACCCGGAGGAAACCTACGCAGACACGGGGAGCACATGCAAACTCCACTCAGAAAGGCCCTGGTCCGGCCGGGATTCGAACCCAGGACCTTCTTGCTGAGAGGCGAGAGTGCTATCCACTCAGCCACCGTGCCGCCCTTATACTGCCGCTTATACTTTGTAGCGCCACCTTTTGCTGCAATTGCAGCTGCAAGTCACTTGGGCTATGTCTCTATCAGTTTTGCACATCGAGAGACTGGAATTCTTGCCCATCCTTCCTTGTAAAACAGATCGAGCTCAGTGAGGTTGGATGGAGAGCGTTTGTGAACAGCAGTCTTCAGCTCTTTCCACAGATTCTCGATTGGATTCAGGTCTGGACTTTGACTTGGCCATTCTAACACCTGGATACTTCTATTTGTGAACCATTCCATTGTAGATTTGGCTTTATGTTTTGGATCATTGTCCTGTTGGAAGATAAATCTCCGTCCCAGTCTCAGGTCTTTGGCAGACTCCAACAGGTTTTCTTCCAGAATGGTCCTGTATTTGGCTCCATACATCTTCCCCTCAATTTTAGCCATCTTCCCTGTCCCTGCTGAAGAAAAGCAGGCCCAAACCATGATGC